AAGGCACCTGGCCCCCAGCCCCCTGGATCTGCACGATGTGTTTTTCATGTCTGCCCAGCGAATCACCCAGCACCCCCCGGCTTTCTCTCTCCCCTTATGCATTCTGCGGCGCTCGCCTTCCATATTAATTTTTATGACCTGGGATGTTGCATGTGCCTTGTGTTGTGCGCGTGTCTCTCCCCCTCTCCTTTTTCAGGGTCTCTTTCTTGCCATGCTGGGGATGTGTTAATGGCACAGAGGCGTGCGGAGGGAGGGCGATCCCCTGTTGACAGTAATGTGTGCCTTCTATTTGAAATTGCAGAGCAATATATTCGGCGGTCTGGATGAGAGTTTGCTGGCCCGCGCTGAAGCCCTGGCGGCGGTGGATATAGTTTCCCAGACCAAGAGCCACCATCATCATCCGCCTCACCACAGCCCCTTCAAGCCGGACGCTACTTACCACACTATGAACACCATCCCTTGCACCTCTGCTGCCTCCTCCTCGTCTGTGCCCATTTCCCACCCGTCAGCCATATCCGGCACTCACCACCACCACCACCATCACCACCACCACCACCATCAGCCTCACCAGGCTTTGGAAGGGGAGCTTTTAGACCACATCACTCCAGGGCTGGCGCTGGGGGCCATGACCGGACCAGACGGCTCGGTGGTCTCCACGCCAGCCCATGCTCCGCACATGGCCAGCATGAACCCTATGCACCAGGCGGCTCTAAGCATGGCCCATGCCCACGGGCTGCCCTCTCACATGGGCTGCATGAGCGACGTGGACGCAGATCCCCGGGATTTAGAAGCTTTTGCGGAAAGATTCAAGCAAAGGAGGATCAAGCTCGGAGTGACCCAGGCAGATGTAGGATCTGCTTTGGCCAACTTAAAAATCCCCGGGGTAGGCTCGCTGAGCCAAAGCACCATCTGCAGGTTTGAGTCCCTTACGTTGTCCCACAATAACATGATCGCCCTCAAACCCATCTTGCAAGCCTGGCTAGAAGAAGCAGAGAAATCTCACCGCGAAAAGCTCACCAAACCAGAGCTCTTCAACGGAGCTGAGAAGAAGAGAAAGCGCACCTCTATCGCTGCACCTGAGAAGAGGTCCTTGGAAGCCTATTTTGCCATCCAGCCACGTCCTTCCTCGGAAAAAATAGCGGCCATCGCAGAGAAACTGGACCTCAAGAAGAACGTGGTCCGGGTCTGGTTCTGTAATCAGAGACAGAAACAGAAACGAATGAAATATTCCGCTGGGATTTAAAAGTCTGGGGGAGTTTTTTTTAAATAAAATCGGCAACAAGACACACTTTAATATTTCTCTATAGTAAGAGAGACAGAGAGACAGATAAAAAGACAGACAAGTAAAGAGAACACAGAGACTGTCAAACAAAAAGTAAACCGTCAAGTTTAGGGAAGTTCCCGTTGGAGAAAACCGCTGCTTCTTCAGAATGATTCAGTATCAAAGAGAGACTGATTTTTTGAAGGCAGATAAGAAATTCTTTTTAAAGGACCGAAGACGTATCAAGTAAGATTTGTTTTTATTCTTAAAGACATCACGTGTTCAAATTTAAAAGTACACTTTGCAACTATTTTTCAGAAAATAAATTGACTCGAAACGGAAACTTTAATCTAGAGTTGAGGCTTATACCATGATTTGAGAGACATCTCAAAAGTATTTTGATTTTAAAAAAAGATGGCAGGTTTTTCTGCATTTACACTACGTATTATAAATATATATATTTTTACTGTGGTTATTCTCTTTTCCTTCGCTGAAGTTA